AACCAGACCATGTGGTACATTTCGTAAGCTGCCCTATATTCTTGATCAAAAGTGAAATAGAATTGAGCAAAAATAATAATGTCTCCTATAAGATGTTAACGGTTTTGGCAAATAACAGACAGAGCCATCTTCATCTTCATCCTCTTCATCATCAATAAAATATTTTCCTGCTTTAGAACACGAAACACTACAAAAATCTAATTCATATGCAAGGAAACATTATTATAGTTTCCAGCATATTTTAACAGTAGTGTAATTCTTCATTATAAATAAATAACATATGTTCATATTTGCAGCAATAATTTTGTACATTCTTCAGGTTATTTTGAAGCAAGAGATGAGAAAACTGTGCAATGCCCTCGCCGGGACTCGAACCTGGACCTCTCGAATACGCGCTGAGTTTGCTACCGTTACACCCCAAAGCCATGCTGGAAGGAAGGAAAAAGTACCTTATAATTTGACTGAATAATTTGAAATTTGAATACCATGCTAGTTCTTATCATCTCCATTGTCTAAATTAAATACCCATCGTTCAAAAGACAAGCATCACCTGAAGTGTTATCAGATAAAATAAATACTACAACAACAGAATAACTTGACCCCCCTGCAATCACGTTTTAGCTAATATATATTATAGAATGTTCAGGAATTCAGAAGCTAAGAACAATTGAAACGGAACTGCGCTTTTGCTTGGGATTGAACGCAAGATCTCTAAATAACCGATGGTTTACTAACCATTGTGGAAGCAGAAGAGCATGTGAAAAGGATATCTTAATTAATGACATGCAGTTTTGTACCTCGGCTAATACATAAACGCTTTTATTTAGAATCGCTTTTCTTTCTATGTAAGTATGGATAGTTACTATGGATGTCAACGTATTTTTAAGTAACCATGGATGTTAACACATCTGAGCCATCAAATACTTAATAAGTAAAGTAAAATTAATTTCAATTCAACGTTCAGGTCACAGACACTGTTCATGTTAACTACTTTATTATTTTCCTTTACGTAGTCCTCCAAAGAGAATATTCCTCCTAAATTAAATAGCTATCCGGTGCTTTCATGCAATTAAGTATCTTAACTCTTCTATAATGGGACACTTCTATTAAAGCAGCCACCGTTAAACACTATAAATAGCCGTCGATATATCAAATTTCTTTCAAATAAGGCATTCGTAAAATCTGTCTAGCTAATCGCTAGGGTGGGTTGTAGCAGCATTTTTCTGCAATGCGTTTGCGAAAGAAGTATGATGCTGGGCGTAGAAATCATCAAGAAGAAGTTATGCCGAATTATATAAATTTCAACATTAGAAAAATATTTTTAGCTAAATTAATGGTAAATTAAAATTAATGGTAACTATTCTTAATAATTATAAATAATGTTTTCGACATTTATAGATACGTGAAGGCAGTGAAGAGAAACTCCTCCACATGTGCCGTGTCAATGAACGGAAATTGCCTCAATACAAAAATTTTTAAATAAAACATTAAGGAAACAAGCATCAGCAATTATTAAAAAATTGTACTCTGATTTTAAGAAACGTATTCCGTGCATAAGTTTTCAGCTAAAAATATTTTGTGATTTCTATTGGAGCTTAAGAATATTTTTTTTATTTAATTCTGATATTGAAGAAAATCAGTGATATTTAATATAAAAAATATAATATGCTGTTCTTTCTAGTTACGTTGGAAATTTCATCAAAACCGGTATTATGCTTGAAAAACAACTTCACTGCTTTTATAGTCAAGAAACCATTTTTAACTAATTAGTCGTTCTTGTAACATATTTCCTTTGCAAGTATGTGGGTTATCTTTAAATACGTTACGAAATTTGTTTAAAGCATATCATTATTAAATTAATTATAATGTTTTATTAGATTAAATATCAACATCTTTATGGCAACTTAGTTGCAAAATAATCCATTTTTAAATAAGAATGCATAAAATAAACTTTCCGTTAGTCTGTATGTGTTCAATCGCGTTTGATAATAAAGCAGTTATATTAAATTTCCTTTTGTAAAATCTCTTTTTAGCTGGCAATATTTCAATCAAGATTTTTTTTCCGCAAATCCAAGACCCGTTGCGAATTCTAAGAAAATGTACCTCGAGGATCGTACGCTCCAGAATGCAAGATTAAATAGGAACATTATTAGTTACAGTTTTAAAAGATCTCTATTCAAAGATTGGTTGTTATCTTTGGCGTGGTTTTGCATCAAATCAGCAACTGAAGTAAAAAAAGGGGGAAAAGAAAAAAAAAAGAAATGAGATGAGGTGGAAGTTACGGCTACTTTCATTTAACTTGATACTTAATAAATATTTATATTCAACAAATGAACGCATTCTCTTAATGACTAAAAGCTATAAATGCTATTTTGTACGCACTCTCAGGTTAAGCAGGCATAATCGATTAAAGGCCAGTTAAGTTTGTACCATGCTGGTTAATCGTCTAGTCTACTGTATCAGACAAAAAAGGAAAGAATATACTCATACAAAAAACACTTATAGATATTCGTGGCGTATCTACATCATAAATATCTAGTCCTTTAATTATGTCTTGATGCATATGTATGCATCATAGACATCATATTTATGCATCATAGACACACAGTCATTAAAAACATACTAATTAATAATAATAATAATAGTAATAATTAAAAACAATTATTTCTTTACAGTCTACTATGACTTCTGAGAAAACAAATAACAGGTATATTTAAGTTGTTAAACGAATGCGGAAGTACTACCTGTGTAGAATCTGTTATGTTTTACAGGCAACGCAAAAAATCAGCTTTGCCCTCAATGTGATTAGAACTCCGTACGTGAGTGAACTCTGCTAGGCGGACGTACTTCTATTTGCATCACGAAAGCACACAGCGGGGCAGGTGAAAATTCCTTACCCTTTCCTCCCTTTAAAAGACAACGAGGGTAAGGCGGAGACACAGCTGTCAAATAAATATGGTGACGAATTTGTGTCCGAATTTTTGGTCGGGTGCAACTTGTACAGCTATTTAGAACCTGAGACGCAGGAGACATGGAAAATCAGCTTTGCCCTCGTTTAGATTCGAACTCCCGATTGCCAGCCGGACCTGCTACCACTTACTCCCTGAAAAAATGCAGAAGAAAAGGTAAAAAGTCCTTAAATTGAAGCAAACAAAATCAACTCAGTGCTTCTTTGAGTACCGTGGCTACTTCTACTTTGTATTTCTTATCTTCAAGAGCGTTTGTTGAATCAGAATAGCGTCAGATATTTTCCATTCGTAAGCGAAAATTGTAATACATCTATCCTTCTACGTAATCTTTAATTCAATAACTTTTACACTTGCCTTATATATATATATATATATCATATGCGGGGAACTAAGATTCCAATTGCATTGTAAACGCAAGTATGAACAGTAACCTCACAACAGTCTCGCAATTATAGTAACTTCCAAAATATGAACTGGACATTGGAACGATAAAGCAGAAAATACAAGTAGAATGTGCTTGTAGTTAAGTGTAATTTACATAAGTAGTGCATATATTTAATCATATAATAACGCAAGCATAATTTTAATATTAAAGAAGTACCTTGAGATTAATTTACTTGCTAATCAGCTATCTATTAATATTTTACATTCTAGCTACTGTTTTGTCATCATTTTATTTTCTTTCAAAACTTTCATCCAGACGGGGGAAAATGCATTTGTTTGCAATTATAACTGACAGTTTACGAATTTAGACTATAAGTAACACACAGGCATAAGCATCTTTAAGTATGCTGAAATAAATTCCAAACTAAAAGCTTAAAAAGAGAAAATAAAAATTGCAATAAGTATCCTTTTTTATTAACATTATAAATTTCAGCATAAATTTTTAGCTGGTTCATTAAAACAAACATTTTAATCATAAAAGCACTTTCGTTCGAAATATAAAGTATGAAAGCCTAAAACTGAAATTACAAATTTCTTTAATGCCTCCTGTACTCATTTGCGAATAAAATGTACCTAACAATCTGTTGAGAGGTTAACTCCATGTTTGCTAATGTTGACTTACATAAGTGCAAGTATTCTTATTAAAGATCTACATGAATATGTGCAATTTATATATTGATAATTATACTCGCAATGCATACGTAACCAAATTTTACATTAATTACTTTGTAAACGTAATTCATAACTATTCTTCAAAGCTTTGTATAATTTAGTGCATTCTTAAAAGTTTAATACTTTATTAAAAACACTTTTTTTATTAAAAACACTTTTTTTTATTAAAAACACTTTTAAAGTTTAATACTTTATTAAAAACACTTTTAATAAAAGTTCATAATAATAGCAAAAACGTATAATAATATTTTCTAAATGTATAGTAAGCTACCTTAATTTAAATAGAAATCAGCATTTGTTAGTATCTTAATTAATTTCTTCAATATACAAAACATTATTTTGACTTTTAGTTATAACTTATAGTTATTGTACTAAAATATATTTTTGCCAACTGTAAAAAAAACTTTATTTCAATTATGCCATTTGACTTTCAAAATGGTGATCTGAAAACAATATTTTAGATGTTTTAAATATTTGATGAGCAATGTATCAAGGTTAACTATTCGAGCGAAACAAAATTCTTCATATATGAAGGGGGAATGTAAACTTTATGCTAAAGTATCAAATTTCACTAGGATAAACTGTTTTAATATTTTTGCTTCAACATTAGCAATTTTTTAAATATTAATAAAGTAACTTTTTTAAGAATATTAAGTTTTATGAAATCTTACTCAAAGAAAGATACTAAATACAAGCGATAAATATCTTAATTCATTTGACGAATAATTTGTTCTTTCTACTTATGATGGCATCAAGAATGATGATACATTTTATATACTCTTGAAATTTAAAAAAAAAAAACAAAAAAAAAAAGGCATTCCTTCGCGAGAAAAAAATTCATAAAGCTGGAAAATTTAATGCGATTTTTACTCTACTTTCATAAAGTGAAATTTTCAACAATTAAATAAAACTTACCTCCAAAATACGCAGTTAGAGACAGAAAACTTAAGAAAATCATATTCCAGACACTACTCTCTATAGCACCCTCTTCCGAAGTTTTTGAAGTTAATCCACATTCAGAAGTGTGAGTTTCAAGAGCGTAAATGCCGCCTGAAACGCAGCTTCACGGCAGCTCTGGCGTGCTGTTTCAAAGTTGAAATCTCAGTGGCCTGAATCGGTAGAAAGCGGGAAATTCTGGTTGCGCGCGTTTCCTTACAGCGCCCTCTCATGGTAGCTTTGTTAATAAAAAAGATCAATGTCTAAGATGAAGCGCTATGTTTCATATTATTATTAAGAAGTAAAGCTAAACGCAGGCAATATTTTAATACCCTCTTTCCTATTACATATATTGAAAATTTTCATCCAGATATTAGAAAATATTCTTTAGGAAAACTTACTCCTTTTCACTTAAGCATTATATAATATAATCTACAAATAGAAGCAAAAGCCTAAGTACAAAATTAAGGCAATTACTGAGCTATGCTTTACTTAATATATATTCTATTTTAATAATATTCAATATGTATTCAGAACTGGAAATGAATTGCTGCAAGTAATGTTTCCTATACAAACTTTTGTTCGAAAATTACCGCATTTAATTTAGCACATCAGGCCGGATGCTTTAAGACTTCTTCATGGGTAGTATAATTCTTATCGTATATGTATAGCATAGGTACAGATAGAACCTAGGCCAGCACTTCTGTAGTACCACATGAGATTCAGGTAGTGATACACCTCGTTAACTTTTACGCTTCCGCTCCAATTTTGTGAAAGAAACCCTGAGGTGTCACAGAGTATTCCACTTCTGTTCTTCTACCATTAACTTCTCGAGAGGACTTTCAAGTATATTTTGAGTGCTCTTTTACCCCACAGATATTATTCACTTACAGACATCCATGCCTTCTCCTGAAATCGAGTCCAGGCCTATAGGTAGTGCAGTCAGCGTTACTAACCACTATATCGGCTAGGCGGCGGCAGATGTATAGATTACTAGTTTTTATGTATTGTATAATTCTAACTAAAAAGTTATAGAAAGTAAACAGGCCTTGAATCATAGTATGGTTAACAAGATTGGCTCTAAGAGTTTTACCAGCTGCTTGTCAGTGATGGATTTGTGAAACGAAGGTTCCTCTCTCCTGAACGTTAGGAGAAATACATCTTCAGAAGCAAGGTCTATTTATTTTTTTTAATTAGTTACAATTTCGGGTTCTCTTGAAACACAGGATCTTCCTAATTGCGATTTTCGCAATTGCGTAAATTCGGCACTGTTCCTTATTAGTTAGGTATACGTTAATTGTGCAGTTTTGGTCAATTTTCCAAACGTGTGCAACTTCAGTTCGTCAATAATTTTCAGAGGAAACAAAGGTGTATAAAGAGAAAAAATAACCCTTTTCATAATTTTCTTTAAATTAATAATAGTATTCAAGAAAAGCTAATAATATAGGGTGCGGCAGCGTTCATAGTAGGATATTAAAAACACACCTTAAGGCAGTAACTGTAATTTATTTATTACCTTCTTATGTCAATTAATAGTTAAAGGTATGCCATTTACTAATGTGTAAGTCATTGTCCATTGCGTGGATTACTTTTTGAATATGATGCCCCCCTTTGCACAACAGATTCATCTAGGCGGCGTTGGAAGTTTGCCATAACTCGGGGTAACGTAATCCCTGGGACATTGCCGACGGCAGTTCGGATGCGATCCTTCAACTCAGAAATGGTGGCACAACGTGTTCGGAAAACTTCTTGCTTCAGGTGCCCCCAAAGTCTGCACATGAAAGATCAGGTGAGCGAGGCGGCTAGGAAATGTCACCAAAACGGGAAATTATTCTACCTGGAAATGTCTGTCGCAATGGTCCGTCCATCTAGAATTTTCCCATAACGTCTCAAGTTGAAATGTTGCCGAAATAGACGCTGGGTAGCAATAACAGAGTAGTTATTCTTGAAATAACTTTCAACAGCAAAGGCACGATACTGTGCACTCCAACGATCCATATCACTGTCACACTCGAAATGGCAGCTCATTAGTACACGAATACGGCACGAGCTGGCGCGCATTCATGCAGTACGTCATTGTGCTACGCAAGTCAAATTACGCTACGAACGCTGCCGCATCCTGTATATTAGTACAATTTGGAGGCTCCTTTGGTTTTTGACAGAAATTTATTCGAGGTCCACTGGAACGAAAAAAACGTTTTCTTAAGTAAATCAAAGTAATGAAGTCAGAGCTATTCACGAAACATTATGCATGTGTAATAATAATTAGTAAACTTCAATTTTACCGTAAAACTAATTTTAAATTTCTTACAACGAGTAAATTATATGCGTCCTAAATTAACAGAATATTTTATTTATAGGTTTCAGCGGGTGGAAATTTTATAAACAGTGACTTATATACAGTGCTATATACTTCCACTGCGAAAGAAATCTTCTAGAAACACTCCGCATTCTATTCAGGTAATATAAAGCCGAAAATTAATTTTTTACATAATTACTATAAACTTCTTACCAACTACTGATGCAGACATTCGAGATTAGTATCGAAGACATTGTTTCACAAAGGAAATTGAAATCAAATTCAGAAATACAATAATAACTATCAAAACAATTAATCCCGTGACTGATTTATGCCAGTAATTCCAATATCTCTGCTATATAGCATTTATAAATTCTCTCTCTTAAAACTTTTGTATCTTTTATGCAGTATTCGAGTAGGAAAGAATAACTCATTTAGTTAGTTATATTTATAAAATTTTCCAGTCTGTATCTTTCATCTTTGCTTATAAGATAAGTTTCTGGTCCAAAGTGCATCTATGTTTTGCCCCAAAATATTCCGCTCCACTTTGAACCTTAGGAAACGACGCGTGAAAACAAAATTGAGAGAGTGATACTAGTGTTACTTAGAAATAATTTTACACAAACTTCTTTTCAGTGGTAATACATATGGCAGAATGGACTAGGCAGACTTTTCTGAAAATTCTATATATTTATCCGTAGATAAGTTGTTTACAGTATATGAAAGATTTTACACCAAGATGACCCTGAATTTTTTGTAGATGTTTTACGAAACGTTAATGAATAAGAAAACTAAATAGCACGATATAACACGGTCAGATATAACACATCATTACACATACGAACTTCATTTGTTTTCTAAAACAAATTTCTAATATAAAATAAAATAAATTAAGTGATCTAAATACAATAACTTATAGTAAAACCAACTAAATATGTTTAGTTTTATTGGAAAAAAATAATTTTCAATTATATCTCCGTGTGAGATCCTTTAGTGATCTATCAGATCTTCAGTGAGTTACTCTATTGTATTTGCTTTCAGATGCTTTCATATGAATACTTGGGAGTACAACAATTCTATGTGAGGACTGTACCTGGGGACCAACGGTATAGAGCTGGTTTCCTTCGTGCTAATACCTGTATACTAATATATAAATAGTATAATAACTAATAACTTTTAGTCTCTACTCATTTTAACTAGCTTACTATGGTAAATGGTTATTTTTAGGTGAATTACAGCCTACAATGTACTTCGAATTTTATTACAAAAAATGAAACAGTACTAAATAATATCCTCTGAAACAGAGTTTCTTAAACTGTGTTCCACGGAATCCAAAGGTTCCTTGGACATTACTTACATGCCTTTTTTCATAACATTCAAGAATGTAACTTACAAAAAGCAATAAAACTAAATGCCTCTACGAAGTTAAAAAATCAGAAGAAGAACTAACCTTTGTTTGCACTTACTAATTTGGATAGTCCGTGCAAATGTGATACCTGACGTCGCAAGTTGAGACGTTCCCATCAGGATAATTATTGGTATTTTACTGCAGTTGCCCAGGGGAATCATCCGGAATCAGTGATTCCGCGACTTATTTCTTTATTGATCGCTACATTGGGAATCTCACAGACCTGGAAATGCAGGGAAATCTCCTATATTTGAATATAAAAGGGTGCTTCGAGTAACTTGACATAATAATTGCTTGTCTATGTGTAAAATATAAACTGATTGAAGGTTTTTGCTTATTAATAAACTTCATTGTATCATATAATATCATATGACTCATATTCTTCTATAAGATTGGAAGTAAAAAACACAGCATCTCGGAGGTCATAATGTGAATTATAAGCAAGTCTAACCAATGACAATAGACAAGCATTTGTTTTTCGCCGATTACACACACAGAGATACAAAGAAGAATCAAATTTGCGGCTACATTCTATCACGCGCACTTTCCAAATTAAATATTATCCTATCACGTGACCCGCAATAGTTGCTAAGGTTCGCTTATTGAATCACTGTTATTTATAAAGCAACATATGATCCAAAAGATGGAGACGACTTGTTGTATTCTGTCTTTGAAGTCTTAACACCTAGAAATTCTGTTAATAGTTTGTTTATGTTTTATATACCGTAGTTAACAATATTATCAGTCTAAGTAACCATTTAAACTATTTGCGTTTAAAAGACAGCTGTCACCGCGTTTTTTTATTAAAATCGTTTTCGATACTTTGTATCAGGTTGGAGAGATGGCTTACAAAAGGCTCTGTATTAAAGCATTTTACTGATTCTAAAGGATTCTGCTTGATTCTTCTACTTCAGACGCAATGATTAGCTCTTAGACTAAAGATAAGGATGGTAACAATGAGAGTGATACAAATGCAATCTCTCCAAAAGCAGTTAAGCCACTTAATCCAACTATAAGTAATAAACTCAGAGCAGTTCTTAAAAAGATTAGGAAGAACAATGAAAGTTATGTGTCTTAAAGATTCATGAATGACAATCCTCATATGCAGCAAAGTTTTCGCAAATAGCTCTATGGCTCCAGCTAAATTGCATTATCATTTGGAATCGCCTCATGGCGAGTTAAAAGAAAAATAATTAATTCTTCATTCTAAAGTGTGATGATCCCTTAAAATTAAAAAGGTTGATTATTCAAACTAGAAAAGCTGCAAATGAAAATGCAACTGAGGCTTCTCAGTTAGTCAGCTGTCAGGTAGTTCAGTGTGCTGAAGCTTACTCAGTTGAGGAAAATCTCATGACGCTTTTTTATTAAACGTTATGACACTGCTCTTGATGAGGTTTTCAAAACCATTAACTACATAAAAGCGTAGCCTATAAATAATTGTTCATTCAAACTAC